TATAGTATCTAAAATAAAACTCAATAGATAAATTCCAATAATAATTTCTGTGGATTTTTTTCTAGAAAAGTTAATGGTTTTGTAAGTATATACATTTAACATTCTTTGTATTCATGAATGAACTTGTGCTATAGAGGTATTTGCTATAATTTACTTGAGAATATTTCTCAACTGATTCTCTGTCTTAATTACCTTTCTATATTATATTTTCTCCAAATTTTTTCTCTCAATTGTATTTATGAAAGACAGCCACTCAGATAACTGACTGAAAGAGATCTATATTTGTTCCCTTTTTAGTAAAACGTCATCCAACATGATGCACTGTGGAAATTATCAAACAATATAATTTACAAGTAAAATCATGTTAAAGATTATTAAAAAATGGCAAGGACTGGGCGCTGAGAGGGAACTGCTAGAAATTCAAGCTGGATTAAGAAGCTGTTATTGTTAAGTACTGTTGAGTCAAGTATAACCCATAACAACCCTATGGATAACAGATCTGAACCCTATTTTACCCTGTGCAATCCTCAATTTTTCCGGCACACTCAACGCCCTTTAAGCAGCCGTTGTGTCAATCTGTCTGCTTGAGCATCTTCCTATCTTTTATTGCCTTTCACTCTTCCAATCATGATGTCTTTCTCCAAAGAATAGTCTTTCTTTTTTTAAAAAAAATATTTTATTAATTTTAATGAACGTTTACAGAGATTTTGGATTTCCATTCATTCATTGTTGCATTTTTCTCCCTGCCCACTCCCTCTCCCCAGTTAGCTCTTCTCTTTGAAAAGTAAAAGAAAAATTCTTTCATTGGTATCCAACAGTTCCCTCCCCCCAGGACACTCCACTATACAGCCTTCATTCTGGACTTAGTATATTCACACAATGGTATACTACGATGCATTGAAAAACAAGGAACTCATTCAATATTATTCAAAATGAGTGACCCTGGAGAACATTATGCTGAGTGAAGTATCTTAGTCACAAAATGACAAACACTGCATAGTGCCACTGTTGTAGAATAGTCTTTCTTTTTTTTTTAATAAAAAAATCTAGATTTATTCTCCAACAGGCATACAGCATCAGCAGGTACAACTAGAGGGATTACTCCATAGATTATATATTTTAAAAAGGCATTATTAACATACAGTCCCTGGTGTGTTCTCTGTAACAATATTCACTTCAGTGTAAACAGATACAGTTAATGTGGTCACAATTCCAGAAGGAAAGGCACAACTTTGCAAAAAAAAAAAAAAAAACAAACCCACAAACAACCAACAAAACTCCAAACAACACACACACACACACACACACAGAGAAAAGGGGAAACATCTTTGGATCCTGGGCTTTTTTAACAGTCTTGATCCACCTGTCACCATGCCCTACATGGAGGGTAAAGAATCCTCTGCCCTCAAAATTAGAGCTTTTTCTAAATTCTTCTTCCTCATTAAACCGAGACAAAGATTTATAGTTTACACAGTATCACATGTAGTACAAAAAGAGATTGGGGGGGAGGGGAAATACCAAAAATATCTCCAATGTCCTAACTGCTCCCACCAACACACCAATTCTTAGGTTTAAGACACGGCCTGGGAAGAGTTCAGTGGTCCCAGACATAGGAAAATAGAGGCTATGGC